ATAAAAAATAATAATTATAGCTGATGCTGAAGAGAGAGATTTTGCAGACAACCTACTGATTCAGAGGTCTTCATCGGCAAGCTACTAAAGAGGTAATTCAAGGATGAAGTCTTTTTGGATGAGCTGCTTAAGAGTGAGGCTTTATAGACAGTTTTTTGTACGAAGTGATGTTAGTTTCTAAAACCGAATTGACGGAGGTCTCCATAGACAACCTGACAGGAATCCTTCGGAGTGCACTGATCTAGCATTTATAGCCAGGCTTCAGAGACTAGTATCTATGGATAAGCGGAAAAAAACCCTTGAGAATTTACAATATGCCAAGTAGTGCTATATAACACCGGATAGCTAACCTCTCTACCCATTATAGGGTACTTAACACTTCCAACACATGTTTTTCTTTTCTTCAACTTATTCCACATTTCAAATAGTAATGTGCTTCAATTCTTTCCGTTTTTTATGTTCATGAAAACAATTACCATCACGACCAAGTGCTTCGTGGGGCCAATGGAGTTGGTTGGGTGGCTATGTTGGCCAACAGACAGACAGACCGGCCGACCGACAAACTCATCTTCAATTATTCTCGCCATATGCAAATCAAAATAAGAAGAACAGCCGACAAAATCTTCTTCTTATGCTCGCCGCTTGACTGCACGCTTCAAATATATGTTTCCGATATAACCGTTCAATATTTCTTAAACGCTTTCTGGCACCATTCTGTTGTTAGATTTTGTTTTGTATTTTTTTATTATTTTTTTTTTTTTGGGTTTGAAGCTGCAAGGCTTTGCGGAGCAAAATTACAGTCTTGAATGATTGCAAAATCAAAGTCTTCTCATCCCTCCTCCCCCCAAATAGTTCTCTCTACGCCCATGGCCATTGGAAATTGTGTTACTCTATATTTGCTAAACCATGTAATAGCTTACGGAACTGCTTGCTGCTCATGTTACTCTGATAGCTGCAACAGAAAAGAAGAAGTAATAAAAGAAAACAACAAATAGTTATAGATTTTAACCAGAACATCACGTATTTGGCCACCATTAACCGAACTGAGGCAACAACTCGGAGATTAGCCAAAGAAAATAATTGCAATTTAACTGTGCCTGGCATTGCATGTGAATGCAGATTCGAAGAAAAATACTCTTATATGGATTATGAAATCCATAGCTGAGATGCTGGCCATGAATATGGCCTGGGAACGATAAAAGGGTTTCATTAAATCCCACAGCCTGATGATCCTCGAGGTCATTTCTTAATGTGAGAACTTTTTGATGGGGATTTTGTTGTTTCACTTAGCGTTTGAAGAAGTATTCTAAAGAAAGATTCCTTTCCGGATAGTTTAGGACGACTTTCTAGCCTATAAAGATTTCCCTTAACCATAGGTGGGTATGACATGGGCATGTATGATGTCTCTTATTCTGCGTCATGAGTAAAACATCAATACAGGGTGAGATATTTTTTCATTTATATTTATTTTTAAATTTTATTGAATGAAAGCAAAAAATGTCCGGAAATAGCATGAAATTGTAGAATAAGTTAATATTTGTTCGAATTGGTCACCTTTGGCTCGAATTATGGCCTTCAAACGGCCAATGAAACCGTCACACGCTGCCCGAATGTTGCTCTGCGGTATTTTGGCCCATTCCCGGCGAAGCGCTTGCTTGAGGTGATCGACACTTTGGTATTTTTTAGTACCAATCCGGCTTTCCAAAATACTCCAGACACAATAGTCCAACGGATTGGTATCCGGAGATTTTGGTATCCATTGTGCGCTGGAAATGAAGCGAGGAATCTCATTTTGTAACCATTCTTGGGTGCTCAGTGCGATGGTGCTGAGTCCTGTTGGAATGTCCAATATCTGCGGCCAAACTGTTTGCGTGCCCAAGGCTTTAATACATCCTCCAGAATATTTTCGCGATAATATTAGGCATTTATTCTGAAGCAACGGTCGATAAATACGGGCGGAAAGCGACCATCGGCTGTTATGGTGGCTCTCACCATCACTATGGCCGGCGCTTGAATTCTGGTGGCCCAACGATGGTGCACATTTTCAGCTGACCTCTTTGACAAATAAACACGATCATTTTGTTTGTTTACAAACTGCTGGACAACGAATTCTCCATTGTCATCGGAGAAAACAAAATTCGGCAGTTCACCACTTTAGGCCAAGCAGGGCAACTCTTTAGCTCCTTTGAGACTATTTTCTTTCCGTTGCGGTGTAAGTTCTTGCATTTTTGGGAATTTCAATGACTTTACCGCGAGATCATCTTTCAATATTTTCCGAATGGAAAATTGCGATATGTTCAGCTCACGAAGGCCACTGCGAAGCGGGTTTCGATCGAGTCGCTCCTTTACTTTTCGAACCATTTCTGCTGATGTTGCTGTTTTCTACCGTCCACTTCCTTGATGTCGAGCTACTGAGCTGTCACTGGAATAATTTTAACAACTGTCGGACGAGTGGACAGCAGTTTGCAATTTTTACATCTCAACCGAACTAATTGAGATAGAAGGCTAAAATTTTGCACACATGTATATTTTGCCAGTAGGCAGGTTATGTTCGTAAATGAACCATGTTGGTCCACGTCTTCGTATAGCCCCCATATAACGGTACCTCCCGATATTCCGCATTTTGATGATTTTAGCGATATTATTCACCGGAATTGTTTCGAATTTGCTATTTGAAGTTCGTAATGTATACTACAGCCTGAGACAGAAAACTGCCTCTGCAGGTCTACGTCTTCGTATAGACCCCATATAACGGCACCTACCGATATTCGGTATTTTGATGATTTTAGCGAATCTATTCACCGGAATTGTTTCAAATTTGGCATTTGAAGTTCGAAATGAATACTAAATCGTAATACAGAAAATTGTTTGTGCAGGTCCACGTCTTCGTATATCCGATACCTTCCGATAATCGGTACTTTCATGACTGTAGCTACAAATTTTACCGATTTTTTTCTAAGTTTCGCATTTGAATATTGTAATGGCTTAGGAAAAAAATTCCCTATGCAGGTCCATGTCGTCATATTGACCCTTATATAACAGCTACATTCGGTATTTCTAAGATTTTAACGGATTTATTGTTTTTGAGAATAGTGTTTGGCTTGTTTGTTCGGAATACCATTGTATTTTGTTGTTGCAAAATGGTCAGGCTTAATCCCTTTATTGTTGTTTTTATACCCTCCACCATGGGTAGGAGGGTATATTAACTTTGCCATTCCGTTTGTAACACCTCTAAATATTCGTCGTAGACCCCATAAAGTATATATATTCATAATCAGCATAAAATTCTAAGACGATTTAGCGATGTCCGTCTGTCTGTCCGTCTGTATGTCTGTCTGTCTGTCCGTCTGTCTGTCTGTCTGTCTGTTGAAATCACGATAGAGCCCACATTATTTGACGTAGACCTTTGAAATTTGGCACAAGTGTGTGTATTGTCCCTAGGATGGTTGGTATTGAAAATGAGATATATCGGTCCACGTTCTGGTATAGTCCCCATATAACGGTACCTCCCGATATTCGGTATTTTGATGATTTATGCCACATTTTTTCACTGATTTGTGTAAAAGTTGGTATTTGTGGGTCATAATGGGTACTAGTTCGTGTGGCGAAACATTGTAATTATAGGTGCACGTGTTGGTGTAGCCCCTATATAACGGTACCTCCCGATATTCGGTATTTTAATGTTTTTTGCCACATTTCTTCTAATGTTCTTTTACCCTAGGGTGGAGGGTATTAAAAGTTTGGCCCGGCCGAACTTAATGTTTTTTTACTTGTTATAAAAACAACGATTTTTTATTAGTGGAGAACAATGGTAATGTTTAACAGGTGGTAAGGCAGGGAATACCTAGGTTTCGGAAAGAGCCACAAATCCTCATCAGTTCCCTTGTTTTTTGTCTGGGATATTCTCCCCAGAAGTTATATTAAAATAAAAATAACTTCTATGACAAAAAACATTTTTTAGAATTGCCAAATTCGTTCCAAATGGTGGAGGGTATTCTAAATTCGGCCCGCCTGAACTTACAGCTTTTTTACTTGTTCAAATGTGAAAATTACTTTGTTTTGCATAAAAATCCCATCACACAGCTGTCTCCCTCTCTCTCTCTCCAATTGCAAAATATGCACAGTGGAGAGGGGAGAAGGAAGGGAGAGGACCTACCTCTTATTTAAAATATTTGTGGTGTTGCTGCTGCAAACTTAGAAAGGAAATCACGAATGGTTTACACCATCGCACTAATCACCACCATGCCAATGTAAATAGTTTGTGACCCGGCAGCTGTGGCTCTGGTAGGGAATTCCAAACTTTGTTTGATTTCAAAGAATGGTATTGGAATTTTATGCGGTGTTGAAAATCAAGTTCCAAATCCACTACGTCACCGCATTTTTTGTGTTGTTGTTGTTGTTTTTTTGTTTGTTTAGTTTTTGGCAAAAGTCAATAGCCGGCTAAGGTTTGCTGGGTTCACATGCGATTTGGCTGTTTTTGGGTTGAGCTGAGCTTAAAATTTGAATGTGAATGTCGTAGTCTTCGTTTGCTAGCGCACAAGTTGCACCATTGCATCTTAGCCATGACGTTGAAACCCAACCGAAATATGTTGCACAAGCAAAAACCACAACAACAGCCATTAACTATCCCAAGCTGTTTTTTTTGGCAAAATACTAAACGAATGACTAGTCATATACGACGGATGGACGGACTGGCGGACGGACAAAACATTAAAATAAATTTAACAATGGACTTTTACTTTTAAACACACAACAAGCCATGTAGACAACAGACCCCCGGAACATTTATAATAAATTATTGCCGTCTTTAAAGTAACAGTTTTACAGGTGTTTTAGCAGCGTTAACAGGGTGGCTTAGGTGAGGGGGAATGTAAATCTACCGCAAAAAAGAAAAATTCCCACAAATTTAATAAATTTTATTTAAATTTTTTTTCTGATTTCCCTCAAAATTATTCCGATTCTAAAATCTCTCTCCTTTCTCTCTTTTTTTCTCCCTGCAGAAAATCGATCCCTTAATGCGTATCCAACAGGAAATCCAAGAGGTTGAGCGACGAGAGCAGGAATATCGTCGCCTCATTTCATCCGTGTCCACGGTGGGCATGGCCAACGCCGACAATGACAACGAAGCCTCCGATGATAATCACAACGACAGCTTGCAGTCTCTGAGTCCAGTGCCACCGGCCAATACCTCACTGAACAGCAACGAGGATTACAACTCCAATAACTCGCTACCCTTGATTGTCAACAGCATTAAAGAGGATGATCATCACTCTGAAGATTCCGGCATTTCGGCCTCCTCCAGTCCGGTAAATGGCGTGTCGGCCAATATCAAGAAACTCAATGAGGCCACCTTGCCAGCCAAGGAACATCGTTACATTGGTCCAAATTGCTATGGTCTGACACCGGAACCACCTCAACAGAAATTGATGACTCGCACCGTTTCCACACCCCTCCTGAGTGCTATAAAAGCCCCCCGGCAACAGTTCACCATGAGTCCAGCCCACAAGGGTGTGATGCAGCGGTTCATTGCCTCACGTGGCAAACTCCAGCTAAACAATACCCTCAACAGTCCCAGCCACAATAACAGCAATAAGATCTTCCTAAACGGCAACAATGCCGTGGCAGTTTTGGGTTTAAATTCCCCCACGGCATTGAATACCCCACCCAACACACCCATGACACCAGCCTCAGCTTTGTTGGGTAATGCGTCCACAGCCGTGCAGCCAGATTTTTCACTTCGCAGTCCAATTGTGCCTAGTGTGATTTTGTCTCCACCCCAGATTGAACGTGACTCAGAGGGCAGGCCCATACGTCCCGGCTATGTGCCGGTGGAGGTGAAAATTCAACGTGAATTGCAGGATCTGAAGACCAGAGAAAGTGAATTGAAGAAGATCCGTAAAATACGTCAGTCGACACCGGATCTCTTGGACTCCATTGAGAATGAGTGAGTATGGAGTAAAAAAAAAGAAAGCAGGGGATCAGAGAAGACTTTGAAGGGGCATTCTGCAGATGATAGGTTCTCAAAGTTAGGAACCCTTTAAAGTGATATGCAGTAGTTGGAGTACCATTTTTGGATAGCAGACAGACAGGAGCTTTCTAGAGGTCTTTTGTGAGGTCTTCTGGGATCGAGGGTTCTCCTATAGAAAATTGCGGTCTTTGGAAAGAGGGTTCTCCTATAGAAAATTGAGGTTCAGTTCACCTAAAAATCATCAAAAGACCTTTGAAAGGCCTTAATTTTACATTAGATTTTTGGAATGTCTTCAGGAGATTTTTTCATTATCTTGGATAGCGGACAGACAGGAGCTTTCTAGAGGTCTTTTGTGAAAGAAGACCAAGGGTACTTCTGGGATCGAGGATTCTCGTATACAAAAATTGCGGTTTTGGGATCGAGGGTTCTCCTATAGAAATTTAAGGTACAGGTCACCTAAAAATCATCAAAAGACCTTTCAAAGGCCTCAAGTTTACATTAGATCTTTGGAATGTCTTCAGGAGATTTTTTCATAATCTTGGAATGCTGTTAATGGTGTTTCCAAGATTATGAAAAGCTCTCCCAAAGACATTCGTAGGGTCTTGCATAAAATTATGACAATTTGAAAGGCTTATAAATGCCTTCTAAAATTTTCATAATTCTCAGGTGAATAGAACCGCATTTTTTATGGGAAAACCCCCGATCCCAAAAAAAAAACTCTTGGCGGTCGGATCGTCTATCATTTGAAGACCTATTGAAGGTTCGTTGACTTAATAGGGCTTATAAAACTTCACCGGAAGAGATTCGGAAGGTCTTATGTAAAATTTAGCCCATTTGAAGGTCTTTTGGACACCATCTAAAAATTTAATGATTTTCAGGTGAACAAAACCTCAATTTCCTACAGGAGACTCTTCGGTCCCAAAAGAACTCTAGGCGGTCGGTTGTAAATCACCAATCATTTGAAGATCTGTTGAAAATTAGTTAACTAAAAAAGGCTTCTAAAACATCTCTTGAAGACATTCGGAAGGTCTTGTATAACATTAAGGTCATTTGAAGGTCTTTTGAACGCCATCAAAAGTTTTGATGATTTTTAGGTGAACAGAACCTCAATTTTATATAGGAGAACCCTCGATCCTAAAAGAACTCTTGGTGGTCGGTTGTAGATGACCAATCATTTGAAGATCTGTTGAAGGTTAGTTAACTAAAAAAGGCTTCTAAAACATCTCTTAAAGACAATCCGAAGGTCTTGTATAAAATTAAGGCCATTAAAGGTATTTTGAATGCCATCAAAATTTTTGATTATTTTCAGGTCAATAGAACCCTAATTTTCTATAGGAGAACCCTCGTTCCCAAAAGAACTGTTTGCTGTCGGTTGAAGATCGCCTATAAACTAAAGATCTCTTAAAGGTTGCCTAACTGAAAAAAGGCTTTCAACAGCCTCCTTCATTTAGAAAACCAATTGAAGGGCGTAGAGGCTTTTCCATCAGAAAATGCCTTCTAGAAGGTCTTCTTCTAATTACAGGATAGATTTTTCATATGATAGACCTCGCAAAGGTATTCTTCTGCTAAACCCATCTGGAAATACTTATGTAGAATAGCTCAAGGTGGTCTTTAAGAAGACCTTTTTGATCTTAGAAACCAACTCGGACGTCTTTGGTATGTAGAAGGCCTCTTGAGAGTCCTTCATTTAAGAAAAACTCTCAACAAGACCTTTAAACGCCTCTTGGAGATCCTCTTTCCAAAATCTCCTGGAATCCTCGAGAGACGTTTTAGATAATTTCTAACTATAGAACAACTCTGGAAGCTCTCCCATCTGGGAAATCGTCTTGAAGGTCCTTATTCTAGGGAATAGTTCTAGAAGGCATTCTGGGAAATTTTCTAACTGCAGAATGCATTTAAAGAATCTTCTGTCTAATAAACACCGCAAGCAGGACTTCTGTCCACAGAAAACATTTAGAAGTTCTACTGAGTATAGAGAACATCTACGAGATCTTCTCTGTAAACACCATCTGCATTTTCTTTAGAATATCTCTTGGATGAACGTCGATTCGAGCTCTAATTTTTATAGAACAGCTGTAATCTGACTAGCAACACATTTAAGATGTCTTCTAAGAGGTCAGCGGTTTATAGAGTACCCTCTTCGAACTCTTACTGGCGAGAGACATTTCTCTTTAGAAAGTCTATAGGACCTCTCAGACCTCTTCTTCGGAATATTCTTTTTCCTTGCAAAAAAATGTCTCTTGGGGATGTTATCATTTTAGAGTAGCACCAGGAGGTATCTTCTTCAGAAAGCCTTCAGTAGTTTTAAAATACCTCTAGGAGGTCTTCCCTCTTTGGAATGTCTCAGAAAGGGCTTTTCTCATTAGAATGCCTTAAGGGGGTCTCTCTCTCACTCTGTCCGCGGAGGATCTCCATAAAATCTTATTTCTATGAACGATTTCAAGAATGTCTATCCTTCTTCGGAATACCATCAAGAAGTTTTCTCTCTTCTGAATATCTCTAATATGTCTTCTTGCACAGGAAAGTCTCTTATCTTCAGAATACTTTCAGGAGGTCTTCTTTGTTAAAATATTTCCAGGGTATCTTTCCCTCTTCAGAATACCTCCAATAGTTCTCTACAGAACTTATAAAGAACTTATTTAAGTCATCTTCTCGATGGGGGATTTCTTGAATTTGTTATAGAGAGTCGAAGAATGTCTTCTATCTGTAGGATACCTCTGAAGGTCTTACATATACACAAGATCTCTTGTCTTGTTAAGAAATAAATTCTGAAGTCCTTAAAAAATCCTTGTTCATCTACAAATCAAAAAAAAAAAAAAAAAAAAAAAAAAACTCACATTTTCCCCTCTTTCTTAGACTTGCTTATTCTGACAGCGATGACTCTGAAGTGGAACATTGCTACGGTCCTGGTAAATTGCGTGCTGCCAAATCCATAGGCGATATGTGTGATGCTGCAAACAACGGCGGTCCAAATAGGTATACATCGGCTATCTAGCGCAAAATCATATCCATATTAACCTCTCTTTCCTTTTTCCCCCTTTCAGCATTTCCCCAATACCAGATTTCAATAAACAACAAAAATTCTCTGGTGCTGGCGGTATGCGACCGGCTGTCTCCTTGGCCCAACTCTGTGAAATGGATCCCGAGGAAACACCCTCTTCAAAAGGTCTAATAGCCCAGTGGGAGAATCTTATACAACAAAATGCCTAAAAGAAGAAACGACGCAGAAGACAATGTTATATCCTAGAAGGAATTCCTACCAACTATGCAAATGTTTTGCCGTTTCCTTTTTTTGTTGTTGAGCTTAAGCCTTTAATTTATTGAAAAAAATGTATTAGAAAAAAAAAAAAACAAAAAACGAAAAATCCCATAGATCTGGCATCTTTAGGTAGTAGCAAAGCAAAGCAAAGTAAAAGGGCAAGGAGATTTTTAGTTGGCATAACAAAGGGTTATTTATTCTCTGAGTGGAGAGAAATTGTGACAAGGCCAAATTGCCAAAGGAGCAAATTAACGGTTCTTTTCCATTTTGGCCCCTAATCATAGCTTAAACATAAATCACCCAGAGCTGGCATTCTAAATTATTCGATCATATTTTGTTTTAAGTATTAAATTCTATTATTTGCCGTTGTGTATTTTCCCTTTATTCTAGTTTCTTTTTCCTTTATTTAATTTTCTTTTTTTTTTTGTTAAAATAATTTTTTTCCTATTTTTTTTTGTTTTAAACAATTATACAATTCATTAACTTTTTTATGAACTATAGTTTAAATAATTATTATTATACTTTTATTAAAGTTATATTAAAAAAACACACAATTGTATTTATCAACGATTTTCATAAATATCCTTCATATAATTCTATAAATAATTATTTAAAAACGAAAAAAAACACAGCTACAATTCTTTTATCTATTGTATATAATTTTTCGGATTAAAATAAAATAAACTTATATAATAATAATTATACATATTTCGAAAAATAAGTCTAGTGTTTTTGTATGTGTTTTTCGTGAGGCATTTAGGATAGGGAGGGAGGAAGGTCAAAATATTGTTAAAAATAAAGGACTATTTCTTGAAGAGGGTCTTGTATGCGTGAGAGATATCCAAAAAGATACTTGGAGAACCTTTGCATAATTTTTTGTTTGAACTATGGAAAATTCTCAAATCATCCTTAAGAAGGACTGTTCATTATGAAGATTCAAATTTGGAACATCAATGGACAAAAGCAGACCCAATTTTTTTTGGCAAAAAACGTGAATTAAAAAAAAAAATCAAGGATATTCTGCCACAAGGACCTTGGCCACATTTCGACCAAATGTATAAAAGGACATATTAACAAAAGAACACCTGGTTTTTAAGGGTTTGACGATTTTGTTCTAACTCGGAACATCAATAGACCAAAACAGGACCACTTCTTTTTGCACATCAAAAATCTCTTCAAGGACATACTAAACAAAAATCGTGATTTTTTATAATAAAAAATCAAGGATCTCCTGTCGCGAGGACGTTGGTCACAAAATTTATATAAGGGCCTGACGATTTGGTTCAAACTCGGAACCTTAATAGACCTAAACTGTCCTACTTCCCCTGGCACCGCCCCCAAAAATGTCAAAAATCTCTTCCAAGGCAACCTGAACAAAAATCGTGATTTTTTTATAAAAAGAAAAAAATTCTAGGATCTCCTGTCATTAATCGATCAAAACTGGGCCACTTCTTCTGCACCGCCCCCAGAATGGTCAAAAATATATTTAAGGACCTCCTGACCAAAAATGTGATATTTATAAAAAATGAAAAAAATCAAGGATCTCCTGCCGCAAGAACGTTTCGACTAATTGTATTAACAAAAGAAAACATGTTTTTTAAGGGCCGGTCGATTATGTTCAGACTCGGAACGCTAATAGATCAAAAGTAATTCAAGCGTCTCCTGCCGCAAGGACGATTCAACTAAATGTATTTATGGACATCTGGGCGAAAAAAACATGGTTTAAAAGGACCTCCCTTTAAAAAATTGTCGATTTTAAGAAAATCTTTCCGGGACCTCCTAACAAAGAACCTCTTGAACTAAACTAATTTTTTATTTAAGGATTTTTTTTTAAAAAAACTTCTTAAGACTTAAGGCTTTTAAGACATTTTTCAAGGTCTGCCCGACAAGAATTACTGGTTTCCCTTTTGTTCTGAGAAAAAATGTTTTCACGAACCTCTTTACCAAAAATCCATGATTTTTAAAGAGAATTTATTATGGAACCCTTGACCAAAACTTCCCGACTAAAATTTTTTGGTTTTTGTAGAACCGCTTTTTTTCAAGGACCTATAGGTCAAGACTCGTGGATTTTTTAAGAAACTTTTGAAGGAGATTTTTAAGCAAACTTTTTCAAGGACCTCTTGATTAAAATTTGTAGATTTTTTAAGAATATCTATTTAAGAATCTTTTGACCAAAAATCAGAAAGAATCGTGGATTTTTTTTAAGGACATTCTGTTCGAAGCGCCTCTTGATCGAAAAATCGTGAATAGTTCTGAAATTTGTTAACATATCTTTTCACGAACTCCATAACTAATCATTTTGGATTTTTAAGGAAACTTTTTTCAAGGACCTATTCACATAAAGTTGTTGTTCATAAAGTGGTTGTTCTAAGAAATTTTTGAATAACCGATGATTTAGAAAAAAACAATTAAGGACCTCCTGACCAAAACTCGTTGAGTTTTTAAGAAACATTTGAAGGTCCTCCTGACCAAAATTTTTCTGCTTTAAAAAATATTTTTCTGACCGATTATCTTTTTCAAAATTTGTAGTTTTTTTATGAATGAATGTCTATTTGAGAACCCTTTGTCTATATTGAGAACCCAAAAATGATGGATTTTTTAAGGGCCTCCTTACCAAAAATCGTTTTTTTTTTTGAAAATCTTTGAAGGACCTCCCGTTCGAAGCCCTAAAGATAAAAAAACGTGTAATTTTTTAATAACATCTATTCAAGGGCCTCTGGACCAATAGTCCTGAAAATACACATGCATAGAAAGCACGTCTACTATTATGGATTTTTAAGGAAGCTTTTTTCGAGGTCCCCTTGACAAAAAGAAACTTTTAAGAAACTTTTGAAAATCCTCCAGACTGATTTTGAAAATAAATTAGGTCCTTGGTCAAGAGGACCTTTTGGAGTTTTTTGAAGGACACCCTGACCAAATGTTAAGCGTTTTTAAAACATAGTTTTTATGAGGCCCTCTTGACCAAATCTTGACCAAAATCGAGGATTTTTCAGGATTTCTTTTCAAGAACCTGCTGGTGTAAAAATGACCTTAAGTCATGAGTTTTCTAGAAAAAATCTTTTTAAGGACCTCCTGACTCAATTTTTCGATGGCTCTCGAATAGGAGTGAGAACTTCTTCTCATTTTTGAGTGGGGAAGCTAAATTCGTGCGAAATCGAGCAGCTTGTAATCTTACCGAGGACTCTTTTAGTTTTTGTCATTTGTATTTCTCGGAATGTGTATTTTTCTCTACACGATCACAGCTCTCCTCTTCCCCCCACCCCACACTTTCCTCTTTTTCCACAAATTCCCTTACTAAGAAAAAAATATTGCTCTGTTTTCAGCGACTCTACTCCTACTAAAAATTTTCAAACAGGAGTGACTCGGGAGTGCTGTCACTCAATAAACAAAAGAGTCAGGAGAAAACCAAAGATAGGTTTACTCAGGAGTGAAATTTGTCTGAGATTAGAATTTCGCGAATAGTAGGAGTTTTTATGATGATTAACATTCACTCTTTGCGAAATTCTGATCTCGAGCAAGTTTTGCTCCCAAGTGAAAATGAGCAAATCTGTGCTATCTTTGGTTTTCTAAAAAAAATCTTCGGGTGATTTTGAAATAATGAAACATGGTAACATTGACTACTTTGGTAGTGTTAAAGCTTTGTAAAAAAGCTTTTACATAGGTAAACAAAGCTTCAGTTCGTACAAAGTCACCACTTGTCATTTATTCACCACCAGGGTATTTACCCAAAAATATTGAGCTTTTGCAACCAACCGTTAAATATGAAAACTTTCGAATGAAAGCTTTTAACTTCAAATGTCTAGAGAGCGAAAAAGAGCTGCGAAAATGAGCTCATGGAACATAGTCTCCAAAATTGGGAAAGCGGAATAACTTCAAAAATAGGACTGCAAAGCAAAAGACTTGCTAAAGTTATTGAAAAAAGGAGTTAAAAAGGACCTAAGAGTCCTTGATGGTCGATTTTTTGTTCATCACCAGAAACCTATTTTTCTATGGGCCCAACCTTTTTTTGTTTAATTGGAGATAACAATAGTCTATTGAGTATAACTTTTTCCGTAAAAAATATATATTTCCGTTAAATCAAAAAGAATATCCTTTGAAAGCTTTCCCTTTTGAATTTCCCCAACAGTCAGCTGTTTGTTATGCGCCTGCTAAGAGCGAATTCCATTTCTCCGAGAATATTTTAATGTCCTTTGGACTCAGTAAATATTTGCAGAGCCAATGAAACTGAGAGTGTGTACCGTTGTCAAATGAAACAAAGCCGCCTTGTTTTGCTCGAATATCCTGCATTGTGACACATTAGTCATCTGACAGGTGGTGGTGGCGGTGGAGCTGTCAAAACGAAATGTAATTGTGATTTTCTTTTTATTTTTCTCGGAGAGAAAAGCTTTCGGGCGAGAGTCCGTTCGTTGTGTGCAAAGAAGAGAAACAGGATGTGGAGCCAGCTGTTGGTGAAAATCTAGTGGGGGGTTTTTTCAGAACGTTGCTGCTAGCCAACGAACGACTCAGAGCAAGAACGTGGTGCATAGATAGCAAAAATTTTTGTGTGCGTTTCGAAATAAAAAAAATAGAAAAAAATGGAAATAAAAATTAATTTACGTTGATTTAAAGATGACAAGGAAAATGGTATCAAAAGTGAAATGAAAAGTGTGGAAAATGGAAAATTGTTTTTCAAAAATCCGTGTGAAAATCAAAAGTGTGGCAGCATGTGTGAGCAAAAAGTTTTCTTTTTCATTCACCAATTTCTTTGCATAGTTGTGTATACTTAAGCGAGGGGTGGTGCGGGTGCGAGTGTTGTTGTTGTTGCTGTTGTTCGGGCCAAAATACTCAAATGTGTGGTGATACTTGATACTGTTTCAGCCGAAAAAAAAAAAAGAAGCGAAAGAAAGAAAATTCCTTTGGACCAATTGTTGTATACATAACAAAGCATAGTCAGGCTGGCAGGCAGGCAGTCAGGCACATTCAGAAACACACAAAGACGGGAAGTCAGGCAGCCAGGCACGAAACTGAAGTGGATTTTCGTATTGGAGAACAGACAGACATATAGTCAGTCAGCCAGCGAGCCAGCTAAGCAGCCAGCAATCGAGCCTAGAACTGGCTTCTGGCTCCTGACTCCTGGTACACCAATTGCCTCTATGTTTGCTGTATTGTAATCTAACGTTTATTGTCTGACTTCGGGGCAAATATCATTCTTCCGTTCCGTTGGCCAAAGATAAAGTCAAGTGTGGTAGGGTAGTTTCCCCACGAGACCCCAAAGCTAGAAATAGTTACAAAAACACCCTAACACATACACTACTTGTAACCACCCTCCAAATGTCCCCCTGACCGCACACACATACACCCTCTCTGGCTATGTGTGCCGTGGCTCAATAGGAAAAGTGTGAGTCAGTCACCCAGCCATCAAGTCACTTAAGTCAGTTTAGCTGCAACTTCAAATGCTTTTGCCTCAATTTAGTGTTCATTCAAGGAGTTGACGAAGTTTATGCACCTATCCTGCAGCCAAGTGAAGTGAAGTGAAGAGAAGTGAGTGTGTGTGTGGGGGTATGCTTGCTTGTTTGCCTGATTCGAACATTGTATTGTTCATGTGAGTGTGTGTGTGTGCCTCTGTCGATGAAACATCAAATATTCAAAAGTCTCGCCTAAAGTTCCGTCTTTCGCGTATTTTCGTTTTCCCCAAATCCGCCATCAAGTTAAAGCAAGCATAATAATGTTGTGTGGTAAAATCCCACGCAAAAGTCCTTAAGGCAGGCAGGAAGGAAGCAGATGAAGACTAGAAATCTAAGCATTGTGCATCGGATTTTTTTTTGTTGCTTGCCAAGGTGGATGAACATGGAAGTCAACTATCAACAGCCTGCAACAGCCTTAGTCAGCATCGCCTTTGCATCATCGGCAGCAGCGTCATTTGAAGCAGATATGCATTCATAGAAATTCCTTTACTTTTGCGAGAAAAAAAGGACTCATGCAACAATGGCCCATACAATTAGAAGAGAGAGAGAGTAAAAGAAAGCAAAAGATGAAGAGGAAGAATGCATTATAATTACAACAGCAGCAACAACAACAACGCTCAGCAAGACAAAAACCGGTGTCCTTAATAAACAAAAACAACGAATATCCATTGAAGACTAAGTGGGCCTCTTAAAACTTCGATCTGTGGTAAAGTGGGGGTGGTGGAATAAAAGAGGAGCCCGCAAAATTCAAAAAAAGTAAATAAATAAATAAAAAAATTAATAAAAATAATTTAAAATAATAATAATAATAATAATAATAATAATAATAATAATAATAATAATAATAATAATAATAATAATAATAATAATAAATGAATAAAAAATTAAAAAAAATGAAAAGTAAATAAAATATATATATTTAATAAATTAAAAAAAAAAATAAATAAATATAAACGTATTAAATAATACAAATTAAAAAAAACTAAATAAGAAAAGTTAAAAAATTGAAAAAAAAAAATAAAAAAGTAAATGTATATTAATTTAAAAAAGAAACATAAAAGTATTACAAAAAAAATTAAGAGAAAAACTAATAAAAAATAAAAAAAAGGAAATTTAAATATTAAAATTAAAAAAAAAAATAATAAAAAAACAAAAAATTATATGAAGTTAAAAAAAGACAAACAGGACTAATCAATTAAACCATGTAAAAAATAGAATAAAAAATAGTTAAAAAATTGGAAAAATTATATTAAAATAGAAAAAGAAACATAAAAATATTAAAGAATAAAATAAAAATAAAATAAAATAATAAGAATAATAAAATAAGAAATATATATTTAAAAAAATAAAAAAAAAATAAACAAAAAAATATATTGAATTAAAAAATTAAACTAGTAAACAATATAAATTAAATAGTAATATAAAAATATGTTAATAAAATTAAAAAAAAAAAAAAAAGAAAAATATATATTAGGTTAAAAAATGAAACATAAAAGCAATAAAAAATTAAATAATAATAAATATAAAAAAATAGTTAAAAATAAAAAAGAAATATTAATATATTATTATTAAAAAAGAAACATGACATTTTTTAAAAAAATATAAAAAAAAAAGAAATTAAATATGGGATTTAAAAATAAAAATAAAATTTAAAAATTTACAAAACATATGTATATATAAAAAACTAAGAAAAAATAAAAAAAAAAATATAAATAATAAATAATAATAATAATTATTATATAATAAAATAAATCATTATAGTAATATATTATAAAAAACTTCAATAATTCATAATAAAAATTAACAAAATGTATAAACAAATAGGAATTAAGAAAATAGCAAAATACATAAAATATATATAAAAATATATAAACAATAATAATTTAATAATAGTAATCATAATAATAGTAACAATAATAATAATAAAAAATGTTACAAAAAATATAAGTAATTAAATAATAAAAAACTAACAATATTTATGAACTAATGAGAAAATAATATAATAATAATAATAATAATAATAATAATAATAATAATAATAATAATAATAATAATAATAATAATAATAATAATAATAATAATAATAAATGAATAAAAAATTAAAAAAAATGAAAAGTAAATAAAATATATATATTTAATAAATTAAAAAAAAAATAAATAAATATAAACGTATTAAATAATACAAATTAAAAAAAACTAAATAAGAAAAGTTAAAAAATTGAAAAAAAAAAAATAAAAAAGTAAATGTATATTAATTTAAAAAAGAAACATAAAAGTATTACAAAAAAAATTAAGAGAAAAACTAATAAAAAATAAAAAAAAGGAAATTTAAATATTAAAATTAAAAAAAAAATAATAAAAAAACAAAAAATTATATGAAGTTAAAAAAAGACAAACAGGACTAATCAATTAAACCATGTAAAAAATAGAATAAAAAATAGTTAAAAAATTGGAAAAATTATATTAAAATAGAAAAAGAAACATAAAAATATTAAAGAATAAAATAAAAATAAAATAAAATAATAAGAATAATAAAATAAGAAATATATATTTAAAAAAATAAAAAAAAATAAACAAAAAAATATATTGAATTAAAAAATTAAACTAGTAAACAATATAAATTAAATAGTAATATAAAAATATGTTAATAAAATTAAAAAAAAAAAAAGAAAAATATATATTAAGTTAAAAAATGAAACATAAAAGCAATAAAAAATTAAATAATAATAAATATAAAAAAATAGTTAAAAATAAAAAAGAAATATTAATATATATTATTATTAAAAAAGAAACATGACATTTTTTAAAAAAATATAAAAAAAAAGAAATTAAATATGGGATTTAAAAATAAAAATAAAATTTAAAAATTTACAAAACATATGTATATATAAAAAACTAAGAAAAAATAAAAAAAAAATATAAATACTAAATAATAATAATAATTATTATATAATAAAATAAATCATTATAGTAATATATTATAAAAAACTTCAATAATTCATAATAAAAATTAACAAAATGTATAAACAAATAGGAATTAAGAAAATAGCAAAATACATAAAATATATATAAAAATATATAAACAATAATAATTTAATAATAGTAATCATAATAATAGTAACAATAATAATAATAAAAAATGTTACAAAAAATATAAGTAATTAAATAATAAAAAACTAACAATATTTATGAACTAAAGAGAAAATAATATAATAATAATAATAATAATAATAATAATAATAATAATAATAATAATAATAATAATAATAATAATAATAATAATAATAATAATAATAATAATAATAATAATAATAATAATAATAATAATAATAATAATAATAATAATAATAATAATAATAATAATAATAAAACCAATAAAAAATATATATTATATTAAACTAAAAAAAAACTGAACTAATCAATAATACAAAACTAAAAAAAATAAAAAATATTTAATATTTAAATATTAAATAAAAATAAAATAAATAGATAAATATAAATAAATAAATAAAATTAAAAACCATAAAAAATTAATATATATAAAAAAATTAAAAAAACTAATAAAATATAAAAAAATGCAAATTAAAAAATTAAAAATAAAGATATAAAAAAATAAAAAAAAAAACAAATAAAAATGTATATTTTTAGAAAATTAAAAAAAAAATAAAAAATTGATAAATATATATAAAACTATTAAATAATACAAATAAAAAAAATAGTTAAAAAATTGAAAAAAAAAATAAAAAAAGAAATGTATATTAAATTAAAAAAAAAACATAAAAGTATTAAACATTAAAATAGAAAAAAAAAGAAAACAACCAATAAAAAATAAAAAAATGCAAATTAGAAAATTAAAATAAAAAAATAATTAAAAAAAGGAATTTATATTAAACTAAAAAAAGAAAAACTGAACTAATCCATAATACAAAACTAAAAAAAAAAATAAAAAAATATTTAATATTTAAATATTAAATAAAAATAAAATAAATAAATAAAAAAAAATTAAAAACAATAAAAAATTAATATATATACAAAAAATTAAAAAAAACTAATAAAATATAAAAAAATGCAAATTAAAAAATTAAAAATAAAAAATAAAAACAAAAAAATTATGTTAAATTAAAAAATAGAACTGATAAATAATACAAACTAAGAAAAAAATAAAATAAACAAATGGTTAAAAATTGGAAAAAATTTATATTAAATTAGAAAAAGAAAAATAAAGTATTAAAAAATAAAATAAATAAATAATAAAAAATTAAAACAAAATAAAAAGTATGTATTTAAAAAATAAAAAAAAAAATAAAAAATGCAAACTAAAAATAAAATAATAATTTAAAAACAAATAAAAAATATATTGAATTAAAAAAAAATTAAAAATAAAACTAATAAGAAAAAAAATTAAAAAATAAATAATAAAAAATAATAAAACAAATAATAAAAAATGCAAATTAAAAATAAAATAAAAATTAAAAAAAATATATTGAATTAAAAAATTAAAAATAAAACTAATAAAAAATAAAATAAAAAAATATTAAATAAAATTAAAAAAATAAAAAGATAAATATGTATTAAATTAAAAAAGAAACATAAAAAATAAATAAAACAAGTTAAAAAAACATTAAGTTCTGCCAGGCCGAACTTTTAATACCCTCCACCTTAGGATAAAGTAAACATTAGAACCCATTATGACCCACATATACCAATTTGTAGACATATTCATGAGAAAATGTGTCAAAAATCATCGAAATACCGAATATTAAAATAACAACAAAAAATATGTAAAACTTAATTAAAGAAAATAATACAAAACTACAAAAGTTTTTAAAAACTTAGAATAAATAAAAAATGTTATGTGAAATTTAATATATTAAAAAAGTTTGTAGTTACGAATATTTAAGTTAATAAATAATAATATTTTCTCTTTCAAAGAAATCAAAGGAAAAATCCATAAAAATGTAACAAAGTATTCAAAAGAAAAAAAAAACTCCAAAAAATCAAATCATTTTCAAATGCTTAAAAGAAAGAAAATTCCAACAAAAACGAAAAAACAATGAAAATATGCTTAAAATAAAGCCGCCAAATAAACACGCTTCAACGCACAACACTTTATAATTTATAGTTCCTCGATAGCCAGCTAAAGCTAAAGCAGCAGCATCAAACATCAAAACATTGAAAGTTAACTAAAACCCCTTAGATAGGCAAATATCCACCCTCCCCGTACTACGAACATCATCACAACTAGAGCATCACACATTCGCAACTATTGCAAACCAAGAGCGACAATAGACTATGGAACGCATGTGGCGCAAAGTTAATCACAGCTTCGGTGGTGGTCGCACCAAAAATCAAGGCCATAATTCCGATACCACCAGTTCGGTGGGTGGTTTCGGTGATAATCCCATGGTGGTTGGCTCCAGCTCAGCCACCGGCCGTCGTCTGGCCACCAGTGGTCAAATGCCAACGCCGCATCTGCCGTCCGCGGGCGCACAAACCTCGTCATCGACAACAACAACATCAACTGCCAATGCTGGTGCCCCAGCAACTGCCAATACCGCCATGGATCCGTCAATGGGTCAATTTCGTAAATCATTGAGTCAACATGTTCTACAACCTCGCACAGCCTCGTCGGAACGTCGCAGGCGTCGTCGTCGCAAGGCACGGCCCCGAAGAAGTGGTGTCAGCTGTGTTGGCGGTGGAGGTGATAATATGTCGTAAGTAGAAAATTTAGTTTGGTGTTATTTATAAGAGGGGGAGAGAGAGAGAGAAGGACGAGGAAGGAGGAGAGGGAACAGGAACGACAATTTTTTTAAAAAATCTACGCCTTGGCATTTTTTTAAATCTAAGCCTTGGCAAACATATTTTTTATTTAAATGTTCGCCTTGAAAAAAATATATTTTTTTAAGTCTTCGCCTTAACAAAAATATTTTTTAAATAGTCCACACCTTGACAAAAATATTTTTTTTAAAAAAACTACGCCTATATTTATTCTGGAAAATATTTAAAAAAAAACCAAGCCTATATTTATTCTGGAAAATATTTTTAAAAAATCCACGCCTTGACAAAAATATTTTTTTTAAAAAAGCCACGCCTTGACAAAAATATTTTTTTTTAAACCACGCATTTATTTTTCTTGGGGAAAATATTTGAAAAATATTTTTAAAAAATCCACACCGTGACAAAAATATTTAAAAAAAAAAAACACGCCTATATTTCTTTTGGAAAATATTTGAAATTCCACGCCAATATCTGGTTGTGGAAAAATATTTTTAAAAAATCCACGCCTATATCTGGTTGTGGAAAAATATTTTTAAAAAATCCACGCCTATATCTGGTTGTGGAAAAATATTTTTAAAAATTTCCACGCCAATATCTAGTTGTGAAAAAATATTTTTAAAAACCCACGCCTATATCTGGTTGTGAAAAAATATTTTTAAAAAATCCACGCCTATATCTGTTGTGAAAAAATATTTTTAATAAATCCATGCCTATATCTGTTTGCGAAAAAATATTTTTAAAAAACCACGCCTATATCTGATTGCGAAAAAATATTTTTAAAAATTCCACGCAATATCTTATTGTGGAAAAATATTTTTTCAAAATCCACGCCTATATCTGGTTGTGCAAAAATATTTTTTAAAAATCCACGCCTTTATCTGGTTGTCCAAAAATATTTTTAAAAATTCCACGCAAATATCTTATTGTGGAAAAATATTTTTTCAAAATCCACGCCTATATTTGGTCTAGAAAATTTTTTTTTTAAAAATCCATGCTCATATCTTGTTGTGGAAAAATATTGTTTTTAAATCGATACGTAAAAGGGCTTAAGAGAATATTTATGTATTAAAGACTGTTTAAGGATTTTCTTCTATATTTTTGAGTAGGTCCATTTCATGGCTCGCCTAAAAGTATGCATTAGGTATGAACTTTTTTTTTGTGATTTTGTAGACGACTATTAAAGGTCTAAAATGTCTAGTTTAGAATCTCTTTGAAATCTTTGGAGTGGTTTAAATTTCATAGCTCCCTGAAAGTATGCAACACATATCCATTGCCTTTTTAGGCTCTCTAATCTGCATTTGCTATCTTGATAGCATACCATTATCTCTCTCTCTCTTTTTCATCCATATCTAATGTATAATGTGAATCACCTAAAAGTATGCATCAGGTATAGACTCTTAATGATTGTTTTCCTATTCAATATGTAATCATGGGAAAACCTTTATTTCTGTTATCGGTTTCACTCCATTAAATAGGTTATATTGTGAATAAATAAATATTTAATATAAAAATGTTTTATAACCCAACACAGACACAAACACACATTCTCACATATGAACTTCCTCCCTTGCTTCCCTCTTTATTTTCTTCTCATTCTATGTTTTCTTCTGATAATTACAAACTTATAGCAAAAGCATAAAACAAGTGATTTTCATTGCTCCAGATTTCCATTGTTTTTCTCTGTGAACAACGACGGCAACAACAACAAGAAGGAGTAATGAATGAATATCAAACTCCCGATTCATGTGGCTCTCCTCTATGGCGCCTCCACATCTCTCCCCCCTCTACCACATCTTTGTTCCATTTTCTTGGGGAAATCTATTTTGAAATCTTAATTATTTATATACAACCCAGGCGGGGGAAGATAGATTCTCTCTTTCTTGGCCTCCGCTTAAATCCCGTTTTGGTAATACAGAGAGAGAGGGAGAAAGAAATTAAGCAATAGTTGCCTGTTTGGGATGCTAGAGACATTTTAAACAATTAAAGTGTTTTTCATTATTGTACGTGAGTATGTGAGGGTGGGTGTGAGTGTGTGTGTGTGTGTTTGTGTCGCTGTGGGTAATATGTAAATAAGTATGTTCCTGAGAACATTTTGAGGTTTGCATAAATTAATTAAAGTTGGGTCTCTAAATAGTCATATTCGTCTAGCTGTTTGTACGTACGTGTAGCGAATCCTTGCAAAGGATACATTGCCATGTAGCTTCCCACAAAAACCACTTTCATTAAATATTCCAAGAAAAATACTTTTTTTTTTTGGGAGGAAGCAAGAGAACTTGTCTGGGGGTGGTGGAAAGTGGAAGAAAAGAACAAAATTGATTTTGGCAACAAAATTACTAGGGAATCTCCCCACCAAAAAACACGTGTGTGAATAGCTTGTAGTAGTGTCCTCATTTAATTGTATAGCCCTAGCTGAATGTGTGGGCCATGTAGAATATAAGGTCACATTATGAAAGTTAGCTATTTAATGAGGAATACAAAGTAGACGAACCATTCCATCACGTAGATATCAAATGGTGGGAGGATGTAAGGCATGGAATATCTTCTATAGGATAGGGGCGGATCCCCCTAAAAAATGTCATGTGATATAGGAAATTACAAGAGAAAAATGTACCCTTTATACAGGGTGATATAAAAAAACTGCAACAACGTCAAAAACCATAATTTTTACATTTTTTTTTTAAATTTTATTGAATGAAAAGAAAAAATGTCGGAAATGGTATCAAATTTTAGAATAAGTTTAGATTTGTTCGAATTGGTCACCTTTGGCACGAATTATGGCCTTCAAACGGCCAATGAAAACGTCATACGCTGCCCGAATGTTGCTCTGCGGTATTTTGCCCCATTCCCGGCGAAGCGCTTGCTTGAGGTGATCGACACTTTGGTATTTTTTAGTGCCAACCTTGCTTTCCAAAATACTCCAGACACAATAGTCCAACGGATTGGTATCCGGAGATTTTGGTGACCATTGTGAGCTGGAAATGAAGCGAGGAACCTCATTTTGTAACCATTCTTGGGTGGCGCGTGCTGAGTGCGATGGTGCTGAGTCCTGTTGTAATATCCAAGGTCTGCGGCCAAAATGTTTGCATGCCCAAGGCTTTAATACACCCTCCAGAATATTTTCGCGATAATATTTGGCATTTATTCTGATACCACGGTTGATTACTACCAGTCCCCCACCATTTGAAACGAATTTAGAAATTTTCAAAAAAATAAAATCCGTAAAAAATTCTGATAAAATCTTAAAAATACCGAATATAGCCGTTATATTGGGGTCTATACGACGTGGAAATGCCGTATATAGGGAGGTACCGTTATAAGGGGCCTATACGAAGGCGTGAATCTGCATAGACAATTTTCGGTCACAGGCTGTAGCATCCATTACGAATTTCAATTACCAAATTTGAAACAATTCCGGTAAATAATGTTGCTAAAATCATCAAAAAACCGAATATCAGGAGGCACCGTTGTATGGGGGCTATACAAAGACGTTGGCCTGCACAGACAATTTTCTGTCATAGGCTGTAGCATCCATTTCTGTCTTAGGCTGTAGTATCCATTACGAACTTCAAATACCAAATTCGAAACAATTCCGTTGAATAATGTCGCAAAAATCATCAAAAATCCGAATATCGGGAGGTTCTGTTATATGGGAGCTATCCCTTAACGTGGACCTGCACAGACAATTTTCTGTCTTAGGCTGTAGCATCGATTTCGAACTTCAAATACCAAATTTGAAATAATTCCGGTGAGTAATGTCGCTAAATTCATCAAAATACCGAATATCGGGAGGTACCGTTATATGGGGACTATACCAAAACGTGGACCTTCATGGCCCATTTTCAATACCAAAAGTCCTGCAGACATAATATACATTTGAGTAAAATTTTATCTACCTAAATTATTTCGTTCGGAAGCTAGAGTGATTTCCACAGACGGATAGACGGGCGGACATCGCTAAATCGACATAGAATTTTATGCTGATCAAGAATATATATACTTTGTGGGGTCTAAAATGTATATTTCGAAGTGTTACAAACGGAATGTCAAACTTGATATACCCTCCATACTATGGTGGAGGGTATAAAATTATATATTGGCTGAGGGTATACATCTGTCGGCTAAACCGACGGACTACTATTTAAGTTGTTATTATTATAAATAGTTATTTATCCAATATTTTCAACATGGCCATTGCATACTTTTAGGCGTGTGATTACATACAAAGGGGTCAAATCTCCCATATATCTTCATAGTGAGTTGCTTAGACTTCTCCTGTCATAATAATCCGCTCAAACACCAAAACTTTGTTATAATTTATTTATTTCCTCTCTACTTGCCATTTAAAGTGGGAAAAACAAAACCCAAACAAAAAAACTCCTAGGTAACCTAGTTATGAACCCTGATTCCTTTGAGCATGACATCTATTTAAACGTGTCTTCCCAAATCAAATGGAAAACGGAAAAAAATAAAATCTTTCCCCTTGCTAAACACAGGAATGCTTGCATACTTTCCACCCTCAGCTAATATGATTTATTAGCTTTAGTTCCAGTCGAAGTATAAACCTTAGGTTTAAGCCATACCTAGGAAAAAAAAAAACAGAAGAACTTCAAACAACAACTTCAAATTTCAAGAATTCCAATGGAGTTTGTTTTTCTATTACCTATTTTCATTTCTATGTCTCTCTACCTCTCTCTCTCATTCCCTCTTCCTTCCTCCTTTTCACCTTACATTCCTTTGGTGTTGTTTTCCTGGGCATGGAAATTGATTTACTGCTGGAGGAGAAACGTTTTAAACGTCAACACATGAATAATTACCCACACGTTTGAATGCCAGTACTTGTGTGTGTGTGGTGGCGAACATGAAGTAGGAAGAACATGTGGAACGTGTGACGGAGCCGAGCAGAGAAGTTGGGAAATTAAAAAAGTTTACAATTTATCCGATAGGAGTTCAGAAATATGTTGCAGTACTTAATCAAAAATGAGGAAAGAAGAGAAAAGAAGAAAACATGGACATGAAACCAAAATAATGGAATTATGACATTTTTTTGTGTCCAAAAAATTATCACAAAAAATATGGCATGAGACAATTTTCTATGTCGCATGAGATATTTTTTTTGAGGCGTGTGAAAAGAAAAAACATAATTCAAGCCATGAAAGAATTACTATTCCGTATAGAAGACCTGGTCTTGTATTCCGCATAGAAGACCTCGTCCTCTATTCCGTATAGAAGACCTGGTCTTCTATTCCGCATAGAAGACCTGGTCCTCTATTCTGCATAGAAGACCTGGTCTTCTATTCTGTATAGAAGACGAAGGTCTTCTATTCCGTATAGAAGACGAAGGTCTTCTATTCCGTATAGAAGACGAAGGTCTTCTATTCCGTATAGAAGACGAAGGTCTTCTATTCCGTATAGAAGACGAAGGTCTTCTATTCCGTATAGACGAAGACGAAGGTCTTCTATTCCGTATAGACGAAGACGAAGGTCTTCTATTCCGTATAGACGAAGACGAAGGTCTTCTATTCCGTATAGACGGAGACGAAGGTCTTCTATTCCGTATAGACGATGACGAAGGTCTTCTATTCCGTATAGACGAAGACGAAGGTCTTCTATTCCGTATAGACGAAGACGAAGGTCTTCTATTCCGTATAGACGAAGACGAAGGTCTTCTATTCCGTATAGACGAAGACGAAGGTCTTCTATTCCGTATAGAAGACGAAGGTCTTCTATTCCGTATAGACGAAGACGAAGGTCTTCTATTCCGTATAGAAGACGAAGGTCTTCTATTCCGTATAGAAGACGAAGGTCTTCTATTCCGTATAGACGAAGACGAAGGTCTTCTATTCCGTATAGACGAAGACGAAGGTCTTCTATTCCGTATAGACGAAGACGAAGGTCTTCTATTCCGTATAGAAGACGAAGGTCTTCTATTCCGTATAAAAGACATGGTCTACTATTTCGTATAGAAGACATGGTCTTCTATTCCGCATAGAAGACATGGTCTTCCATTCCGCATAGAAGACATGGTCTTCTATTTCCTATAGAAGACATGGTCTTCTATTCCGCATAGAAGACATGGTCTTCTATTTCGCATAGAAGACATGGTCTTCTATTCCGCATAGAAGACATGGTCTTCTATTCCGCATAGAAGACATGGTCTTCTATTCCGCATAGAAGACATGGTCTTCTATTCCGCATAGAAGACATGGTCTTCTATTCCGCATAGAAGACATGGACTTCTATTTCGCATAGAAGGCATGGTCTTCTATTCCGCATAGAAGACATGGTCTTCTATTCCGCTTAGAAGACATGGTCTTCTATTCCGCATAGAAGACATGGTCTTCTATTCCGCTTAGAAGACATGGTCTTCTATTCCGCATAGAAGACATGGTCTTCTATTCCGCATAGAAGACATGGTCTTCTATTCCGTATAGAAGACGTGGTCTTCTATTCCGTATAGAAGACATGGTCTTCTATTCCGTATAGAAGACATGGTCTTCTATTCTCCTATATAGAAGATGTGACCTTCTACTCCGTATAGAAGACCTGGTCTTCTACTCCGTATAGAAGACCTGTTCTTCTATTTCGTATAGAAGACCTGGTCTTCTATTCCGTATAGAAGACCTGGTCTTCTATTCCGTATAGAAGACCTAGTCACCTATTCCGTATAAAAGACCTGGTCTTCTGTTCCGTTTAGAAGACCTGGTCTTCTGTTCCGTTTAGAAGACCTGGTCTTCTGTTCAGTTTAGAAGACCTGGTCTTCTGTTCCGTTTAGAAGACCTGGTCTTCTGTTCCGTTTGGAAGACCTGGTCTGTTCTGTTCCGTTTAGAAGACCTGGTCTTCTATACCGTATAGAAGACATGGTCTTCCATTCCGTATAGAAGACATGGTCTTCCATTCCGTATAGAAGACATGGTCTTCTATTCCGCATAGAAGACATGGTCTTCTATTGAAGACCTGGTCTTTTATTGCCTATAGAAGACCTGGTCTTCTATTGCCTTTAGAAGACCTGGTCTTCTATTGCCTTTAGAAGACCTGGTCTTCTATTGCCTATAGAAGAACTGGTCTTTTATTCCCTATAGAAGGCATGGTCTTCTTTAGAAGATCTTTTCTTCGAATAGAAGACGGAGGTCTTTTATTCCCTTTAGAAGACCTGGTCTTCGAATAGAAGACGGAGGTCTTTTATTCAGCATGGCATGGTCTTCTACTTCGTATGAAAGACCAGGTCTCCTATTAATTATATTTCTTTCCCGTACGGTATTCAGATTTTCTATCGCATTGAAGACCTCTCGTTGACTCTTGGCAGTTCTTGTACTCTGTAGAATGCATTTTTGGGTGATTTTTGAATAGAAAACTTTTGAAGAGTCTTCTGTTTAGAAGAAGAGGACTGGAGGATCTTTTCTATAGAAAAGCTTTAGAAAATCTTCTCTTGTGGAAAAAAAGTTAGGAGTGTTTTATCTTCTATCGAAGACCTTTGGAGGACTTTCAGCAGGTATTTTATGCTATATATATAACATGTAAAGGTTTGTTATTCTACATCAAATATTTAGAGGACCTGCTATTCTATAAAAGGCCCTTATAGAGCTTCTATCATACAAATATTCTTATGATCATCTTCCTTTATAAATATCATCTTTAAGGGGTCTTCTATTCTATAGAAGGCTCTTGAAAAGTCTTCCAATTATTTACAGAATTTTAGATACCCTGCTAGTCTATAAAGGAGCACTAAAGGATTTTCTCTTCTATAGAATGCCTATAGAGGCTGTTTTTATCTTCAGAAGTCCTGTAGAGGGTCTTCTATTTGAAAGAGTATTTTTAAACTTCATAAAATTATAGAATATTTTGGGAAGTTGTTATTTTACAGGAAGACCTCTAAAGATCCTTCAATTCTTTAAAAGGCACTGAAGATCTTAAGAACCATATAAGATCTCTCGTTGGTCTCCTGCGCCATAGAAGACCCATAGACATTTGACCATTCTTGGAAACCTCTAAGTTATATTTTTTTCTTATCCTTTTTATTACCTTTGAATTAGCTCTCCATCCAAAGCCGTAAGGATTCCCATAAAAGTCCTTATTTCCGCTCTGTTCATCAAGGCACAAGTGTATATAATTCTTGGCTACATGTACCACCCACCTTCTGCTGGGTGAGATAAGTGTATAAGTATATTTTTATTACCTTACTGACTTCCAGCCAACACGAAAGTTAGGTTAGGTTCTGGTTGGCTGGCTGGCCAGCACGAAGCTTGCATTTACATAAATAAATTCAAACAGGTGATAACTCATAAAGAAAAATACCATAATTTTGTGTTGCAATGGAGAAAAAACAAATATAAAAAATGTATATAAACATTATTAAGGGTCCTCTGGGGAGCCAGAAAAGCGAAGAAATAATAAACATGCCGGTGATAACTTTAAAATTACACACACATTCATCCATTCATCCACTCATTCTTCCCCCACTTTGTTTGCTTCTTTGCAGCTCTTCCGGTGGCTTTTATACAATCAACGAATCGCACGAAACCAGTCGCTATCATCGAACCCATCGTACGGCCCGTGTTATGGCCAGTTCAGCACCGTTGGGTACAGTTTTAATGTATCCCAACAAGGCGGTCGGACATCACGATACAATGGCTAGCAATAATACAATAACAACGACAACAACAGCAGCAGCTAATGCTGGAGGTGTGGGTGTCGGTGGCGGCACAACAACGACTAGAACACCTTTAACCGAGACATCTGTAGGCCCGGGATCCGGTACAGTGGCTGTAACATCAACATCGGCGCCACAAGCACCGGATATTTCGTTGCGTCAACGAGCTGTGGCCAAATTGCGAATGTTCAATTTCCATTTGAATTGGGATCTTCAGATGACTCATTGCAAGCCCTGTGGGTAAGTAAAAACAAGGATGGAGAACAAAAAAAAAAAAAAAAAACACAAAAAGGATGGAAAACAAATATAAGAAATGAAATTGAAAAGGATTTTATTTATCAGAAAAAATTCTGTTGGCGTTGTTGTTGCTGTTGCTCATCTTAGTTTGTGGTGGTAGATAGTGAAAGAGTTTTTCTTTTACTTTCCTTTATTTCTTTTTACTTCCGTTTTCATGACCTACAGTGCGGGAGTAGGGTAAACAAGGTACAGGGAACTATTTGTAACAGTTTTTTCAAGAAAAAAATCGAACGACTTTAGTTCTTTAAAGGCTAACTATTTTCCAGAAGACATTAAAAGGACATACTCTTTCTATACAGTAGAGTACCATTAAAGTCCTTCAAAGACCCTTAATGAATCCTTAAATAAATAAAAGATCCTTAAAGATATCTCTGATCTATGTAGGGCCCTTAAAAGAACTTCTATTCTGGCCTTAATGAACTTCTGTTCTATTGAGGACCCCTGAAGGGACTTATGTTGTACAGAGAAACCTCCGTTGTCTTAAAGTCTCTTCTATTCTTTAAGGGTATCTTGAAGGTTTTCTACAGGACTATATGGCTTTTTATATCCACACCATAGTATGGAGAACATATTTAATTTGTCATATCGTTTGTTACACCTCGAAATATAAATCTATGATCTTCATAGAATTCTATGCCGATTTAGCGATGTCCGTCCGTCTATCTGTTCTGTCGGTCTGTCTGTCCCTCTGTGGAAATCACTCTAGTTTCCGAACGTAATTATGTAGGTTGATAACATTATACTCAGATATACGTTAGGTCGGCAGGACTTTTGGTATTGAAAATGGGCTATATAGGTCCATGTTTTGGTATAGCCCCCATATAACTGTACCTCCATATACTCGGAATTTTATTGCTTTTGTCACCCTTTTCTCCGGAAATGTTTCAAATTTGGAATTTGAAGTTCTTAATGATTTACAATCTGGAGGAACTTCTTAAGTGCCCCTAACAGAGAGAGAGAGAGAGAGAGAGAGAGAGAGAGATAGAGTCAGAGAGAGAGAGCCAAATGAGTCATAGAACTCCTCTGAGGAACCATTATTGTTTTCTATGCCGTCGGTGATGTTCTCTTGGAATCTGAATCATTGGACACCATTTGAGTCATTGTCGGGAGGCTGTCATTGGCGCCTTTCTAGGGGGCAATTGAAGCTCTTCAGGAGTTATTGATGCCTTCCAATCTTCTTTTTTGGCATCATTGATATTCCTGAGGAGTAAGGGAGTCATTACCGGTACTTTTTTGGGAGTCGTTCACGCCTTTCAAGTAACTGTGTACAATAGGTGTCCTTGATAAAAAATGGTTGATCCAAACTTTTAGAAAGCAACGTCATTGACATCCTTCAGGGAAGAGTAGTTGAGTCATTGTTGACCTCCATATATTACCGGTCTTTTTTTTGGAAAAGAGTGTCCTTTACCTAAAACCTTTTGATTCCAATCTTCAGAAAGTCAATAGCAATGTCATTGACATCCTTCAGCGGGTCATTGACACTCTCTCATGATTTATGGCAGCTTTATGCCATCTGCACTGCACGGAGCCATCTGGATCTTTTGGATAGTGATTAAATAACTTTTTTTATTCATTTTGAGGTGTTAAGAAGTCGTGACGTTTTTGAATCTTCTTAGGAGCTTTGGACGCGTCTTAATGGAGTCATGACACCTCATGAGAAGTCATTGGCATTCTTGAAAAGAAGTCATTGTCCACATTTTTGTGTCATTGTCGGGTTTCAGGAAGTCATTAAATCCCTTTACGATCTCTTGACTTGTTTAATAGAGCCATGATTCATGGCACCTTTTATGGAGTCATTGGCATCCTTGAAAAGAGTCATTGTCCAAATTTTTGAGTCATTGTCGGGGTTTAGGAAGTAATTTAATCTCTTTAGAAGCTCCAGGCGTGTTTAATGGAGTCATTGATACCTATTGAGAGCCTTGAAGACCCTTATCATTGATGATCCTTTGAGAGTTTTTTGTGTCATAATGGAGTTATTGACTTCCTTTGGAATACGTTCCAAGGAGTCGTCTAATCATAACTTCGGAAAAGGGTGTCCTCTTTAGGTCAGTAGGATATACTATCCAAATCCATAGGAAATCATTAACACCATCCGTAGAGTCATTGACACCTTCCTGGGAATCACTACACCATTTGATGGTTCACGAACCTTATTGAAATTGATGGACATTTCCTTGGAACTCATTGACTCCTCTTTCTGATTTACTTTACCTTGCAGAAAGTCAGTACAGCCCTTCAAGGGTTTTGAGGTTGTCTGAAAATCTACAGAGGGCCAATAAAAAAATCTACGAAGTTAGTGAAGTTCCTACATTTTTTGGGAATAAACGGCCTTCGTTTGCTCTTTTAGAGCATATTTGGTAAAGGACCTTTTAAAAGGCTCCTGGAAGAAATTACATTTTATATCCTCAACAGAAGAACAAATTTTAGGGGTCTCATGTGGATAGCAGAACTTTTAAAATAATGTCTATGAAACCCACAATTTTTGGAATCTCGGTTGATGTTCACTCACTTTGGCGCCCAGCGTGAAGTCAAAATTGCTTTTAGGTCGATTCTCAAATAAAGGACATTTTAAAGGGCTCTTGGAAAAAACTTTTTAAATATCCCCTACAGAAAAGAAGATCATTTTTTATGGCAATAAGCTTTCTCGAGGGCTTCCTTTGAATAGTAGACCTTTTAATGGCCACACAAACAAGATATCTGTGGACTTATGACCATCCATGGAAGAAATGCTTTTGGGGTTCTTATGTGTATAGCAGACCTTTTTACAAAATTTTTATGGAACCCACCGTTTTTGGAATCTCGGTCGCTCGGTAACCTTGGCCCACAATGTGAAGAAAAAAACAGAATATCATTTTTTATGGCGAAGTAAGCTTCCTCCAGGGATTTCATTGAATGGCCACCCAAACAAGATATCTGTGGACTTATGTTCCTCCATGTACGAAAATCTTTTGGGGGTCTTGTGTGGATAGCATAGCATTTTTGCATTTTTGGAGTCTCGTTCGGTCACCTTGGCGCCCAATGTGAAGAAAAAAATGGCTTTTAGTTCGTTTCTCAAATAAAGGACATTTTAAAGAGCTCTTGCAAAAAAAACCTTTTAAATATCCTCTACAGAAAAGAAGACCCTTTTTTATGGCAATAAGCTTTCTCCAGGGGTTCCATTGAATAGACGACCTCATGAAAAAGATAACCATGGACCTACGACCCCTAATGGAAGAATAGCTTTTGTGGGTCTTGTGTGGATAGCCTAATTTTTAACAGAATGTCTATGGAACCTAACATTTTTGGAATATTGATCGATGTTCATTCACTTTGGCGCCCAGTATGAAGTCAAAATTGTTTTTAGGTCGTTTCTCAAATAAAGGACCTTTTTAAGGACTATTGAAAATAAAACTTTTTTAATATCCTTTACAGAACAGAAGACCCTTTTTATGGCATTAAGCTTTCTCCAGGGATTCCATTGAATAAAGAACCTCATAAAAAAGATACCTATGGACCTATCACCCCTAATGGAAGAATAGCTTTTTAACAGAATTTCTATGGAACCCACAATTTTTGGAATCTCGGTCGATTTTCACTCACTTTTGCGCCCAGTGTGAAGTCAAAATTGTTCTTAGGTCGTTTTTCAAATAAAGGTTATTTTAAAGGGCTTTTGGAAAAAAAAACCTTTTAAACATCTGTAGAGAAGAAGTTCTTTTATGACAGTAAGCTTCCTCCAGGGCTTTCCACTTTGACGCCCAATGTGAAGAAAAAATTGTTTTTACGTCGATTCTCAAATAAATTTCAATGAAAAATAATCGAATATTCCTAAAATATGCACAAGTCACAGATGGCGCCCAACGATGGGCATAGGACATTTTTTTTGGAGAAAACGAAATAATTGACACCCAAAGCTGGTGCTGTGTAATGTTTGGCGCCCAAAATAGGGAACAGAAGATATGACTTCGGTGTAAAGCCATGCAAATATTTCTCGATTCATGCATAGCAAAATCAGGAGCAGAATATACTTGAGTACAGCTCCTTACCAGAATTGTACACCTGTTTGCTACTTGTCGCCCTAGGTATAATATGTTTTCCTAAGATATCTTCCAGAGCCTTAAAGAACCTTATGTTTCTAGAAGCCGGTTAAATGCCTTGGTATAGCCTTTCTTATTCGTTTCGAACTTTGTTCATTTTTCCTTTCAAAGAAAAATGGGTTCGCTATATAATGGCGTCGACTTTATCTGTCTCTGAGATAATAATGAAGGCAACATCGTTGTTGTTGTTGTTCCTGACGATGAGCAATGTTTGCTTGTCGTTCATTTTTTTTTTGTTTTCACTTCCTTTGGACCGTTGTGGTTTTTCCTGTTGATATTTACTCTTCATTGTTGTTGTTGTTGGCCATGTCGTTTTCATATTTATTTATATGCAACGGAAAGCTTTGGTTGTGTTTCCCCTGTGTGCGTATGTGTGTTTTTGCCTAGAAAAGTTATGGCCGGGAAAGCCAAGGTATTGGCTTAGACATCCTGGTCTCTGGCAATGGAGATTGGTTGTGGGTTTCTTAGTTGTTTTACCCTTTTCGTTTTCATTTTCAAGTGTTTTTTTTTTTTTGCTTTTGCCCACCAAGTGTCAAAGGTTGTGATGCCGTTCATTTTCTGTTGTTTTTTTTTTTCTCTCGGTTTGCTGCGTTGTCGTCATCTTCGTCATCGTCAGGTTAATGGGGTATTGTGTAAATATCCTTCGCACGTTTTCAAAACAAAAGGTGCATTCTGAAGAGCTGTTGTTTCGCTTTCACTGCTAACCAAGTAAATGAGGCCAAAGGACCCTAAAAAAAGGACTTCTTTGCGGCTCAGCTGATAGCTGTGCTCCACACAAATGCGCTTGCCAGTCACTCAGCCAGTTAGCCAAGAGTTTCAAGTGCTTTTGTGGCCTAAATACTGTTTTAAACTCAAGTGGCGGAGTAGAGT